ATCTAAACATAGTCCTCTTTTAAACATTTTAAAGTGTGTTCACAATGAAACCAAGAATGAATTGGAGAAGATGTTGAAATGTAATGAGGAGCACCCAGCTTATCTAGCAAGTGATGAAATAACCACAGTCCGGAAGAACCTTGAATCCCGAGGAGTGGAAGTAGATCCAGGCTTGGTAATAAATACTGCTGAAAAGCAGGAATCTGCTTCCTTCATGTTTGTTTCTTGCAGTAAATGTTACTACATGTGTTACTTAGTTACTTAAGTCCTTAATTTTACTTCTGTTGTGTGTATGTTTGCTGACAAGAAAAGCTTAATCATTTTGATTGTGTGAAGAGAAGGAATTTTATTCTCAGTATTGTTTTTTAAGGGTAATGCTTGAATTTGTAAATGGGGAAATTTACTTTGGCAAGTTCAGTGTCAGCAGTTAGTTCTTGCAGAAACGGATGAAACTGACCCATACCTCTGCCCCACATCACACTGTTTCAGATGGCAAAATAGAATTTCTGTTTAAATATGGCATAAGTAGGTGTTTTTGTGTGTGGTTTACAATCAAATGTAACTCAATTAGATGTGAGTGGATTCAGAAAAAATAAAAATGTTGTTTTAATTAAATTGGATGAGACCATTGAGTTCTGTCTCTATTTTCCTTATTCATAAGTGTAAGAATAAAAATAGTCTACACTTTAGGCTACTTTTTGCTTATCTTCATGATGCTTTTTTTTTTTGAGACAGTCTCACTCTGTTGTCCAGGCTGGAGTGAAGTGACACGATCTCAGCTCATTGCAACCTCCACCTCCCGGGTTCAAGTGCTTCGCCTGCCTCAGCCTTCCGAGTAGCAGGGATTACAGGCATTCACCGCTATGCCTGGCTAATTTTTGTATTTTTAAGAGAGATGAGGTTTCACCATGTTGGCCAGGATGGTCTCGAACTCCTGACCTCTGGTGATTCACCCACCTCAGCCTCCCAGAGTGCTGGGATTACAGGCATGAGCATGATGCTTTTTGGGGGACAAATTTTTAAAAATACTTCTGGGCCCACGTTTTTTAAAAAATACTTTCTCTATTACTTAGTTAAAATGTAAAGAATTCAAAGGCTTATTTTAATATTAGCTTAAGTAAAAACAATTAGAAAAATAAGTCTAGGAAAGCCACAAAAATTAGTTTGAAGATTATATGCTATTTATGTTTCTGTACTTGAGGAATGAGTATACTTCTTTTAAATTCCACCAGAGGTCAGAACAAGTAAAATAATCAAAATAAAGCTGGTAAAACTTAAAGCAGTTACACAGCTTGCATTATTTATAAATTGAAAATGAGATTAAAACTAATGATTACATGAGATATTTTAGTTGAATATAGATTCAATTTTTATTCTTGATGATCCCAGCTCTCATTAACAGTAAGTTATATTCAGTTTGACACTTTAGATGTTATGTGGCACTTTGATTAATATGTAGGAGGGATTTTCTCTTCAGGTTGGTATAGAAGAGACGTTATGTGATTTTTTTTTTTTTTTTTTAAGTTTTCACTCGTGTCTTAGGCAATGGATTGGCTGTATGTCTTAATTAGTTTCTATGACCAAGAAAACCTCCAATTTTTTGAGTGACATTTTGTTCAGTGCACTTTGCAAAACTATAAAATAAATAGCAAAGTACCTCGAGAATAATATCACTTGAACTAGATGTCAGGATATGTGAATTCTAGTGTATTTCCATTATCTTCACTAATAAGAAGTCCTTTAATAATTGATACAACCTATCTGACCTTACTTTCCTCATCTGTCAAATGGTGTTGCTGGTTGTTCTGACATCATTGTTTTGCTCAAAAAAGGACTGTGGGTATTGGCCGGGCGCGGTGGCTCATGCCTGTAATCCCAACACTTTGGGAGGCTGAAGCGGGTGGATCACAAGGTCAAGAGATCGAGACCATCCTGGTCAACATGGTGAAACCCCATCTCTACTAAAAATACAAAAAATTAGCTGGGCATGGTGGCACTCGCCTGTAGTCCCAGCTACTCGGGAGGCTGAGGCAGGAGAATTGCCTGAACCCAGGAGGCGGAGGTTGCAGTGAGCCAAGATCGTGCCATTGCACTCCAGCCTGGGTAACAAGAGCAAAACTCCTTCTCAAAAAAAAAAAAGACTGTGGGTGTTAAGGAATATTTAGCACTCAGACTGTCTAGTAATAAAGAAGTAGGGATCATATTGGTGTGGTAACAGTGAAATTTGATAATCAGGAAGGAAATGTTGAGTTGATGGACATGATCTGAGACCATCTTCTTAAGTCCTACCTCTATTTTTAGATAAGGCTTTCAACCTCCTTTTGCATTGGTTTCCACACCTCTAACTAGGGGAAGATAATACCTACCCTATCTACCCCACAAGATGATTATTTGATTATAATAACAGCATGTGTTTAAATCTTTGCTAATTTTTAAGTACATAAACTGATAATGGGTCAGAGTAGTAATAAATCTAAGCTTTGTCTTCAAAAAAGTAAATGAATAAAAAAGTTTGAATAACTATGTAAAGAATAACCTTGCCTTTGCTTTTAATTAACTTTTTTTGTTAAATAATTTTTTTTTTTTTTTTTAACAACTTCTCAGAGCCTGGTTGATCAAGGAAGAGTATACAGTAACTCTGGTTTTTGTTTTCTTTTCTCATTTTAGATTAAGGATACTTGGCATCAAGTTTATAGAAGACATTTTTTAAAAACAGCTCTAAACCATTGTAACCTTTGTCGAAGAGGTTTTTATTACTACCAAAGGCATTTTGTAGATTCTGAGGTAAGGTTTCCAAAAACAGAGAGAAATATTTTTAAGCAATAGTTGTTAAAATATGTTTAAAAGTAAACTTTAGCTTAAGCATTAAGTCCTTTGATCATCTGGGGAAAAGGTACGTATAATTTATAAACAATAATTTAACTCTTATCTTTTCAAAGATAATTTGCCACTTTGTTAGTAACTACATCTTACATGTGTATTATCCCCAATGCTTAATAAAGTAACAGGAAAGAGTGCCTTATAATTCCCTGACCTATAAGAATTTTAGTTAACATTTTTATGTATTTCTATTCAACTTTTTCTATACACAGGGAGAGAGAGAAAGAGGGAAGGAGAGAGGAGAGAGAGAGAGAGGGAGTGTGTGTGTAACATAACCATCCACTGCATAATGGAGATCATACTGCAAAACAATTTTTATCATGCCTTTCTCAGGTGTCATAATTATTTCTTCACATCACTAAATCTTGTTTTAAATAATCATAAAGTTCTTGGATTAGAATGTTTCATAATTTAAAGGAACCCCTAGGTGGCAGCAGGCTGCTAGATTTTGAGCATTTTCTTACAAGCAAAAATGCTTTTAAATATCCTTTTGAAAAAGCTCAGTTAATCAACAATCTTATTTGAGACCTCTAACGTGCTGTTCTTTTGTTTTCAGTAGATGAAAGTAAATTTGTATTTAAATGCAGCTATGTAAAAGTGGCAATTTTTTGCATAATTTTAATTGTTGAGGGAACTTCTTTCTATAGAAACTTTTGTAGAAAGAAGAAACTTCCTTCTATAGAATAAGCTTCTTTTAAATACATCAATTTATTTTTATACACAGCGGAATTTTTAAAATGGCTTTAGTGCAGACTCAGAGAGGTTAACCTAAGGACATACTTAAGACAAATATGGTTAATCAAAACTAAATATAAATGGCAGGTGTATATGCTATGAATTTCAACATACATACAATGTAATGGAATTATCTACTTCTCAAGCTTATTTGTTTTGTCATTAGACTTGAAACAAAGCTATATAGGTGTCAGACAGATAGAGGCCAAATTATGCAGAATTTCATGGCTCCATATGGAAAGGATTCTTCAGCTTAGATATACAGTGTATGTATTAGGTAAATTTGGGTACTTTTAAAGCTTAGGACATATGTTCTGGTTCTAATAGTTGCATGTGTTCATGATTATAGTTTTCATTTTAACTTTGCATCTGGCAATCTTGATTACTTATTATTTCAGTTGGAATGCAATGATGTGGTCTTGTTTTGGCGTATACAGCGCATGCTTGCTATCACCGCAAATACTTTAAGGCAACAACTTACAAACACTGAAGGTAAGCCACACGGGGACTGCAGTCTTACTTTAACATTAAAAAATAATAGTAGTAATATCTATAGTTAATAGAAGGATGCCAAAATACTTCCCTAAAAATAGATTTATTAGAAAAACTGGCCAGGTGTGGTAGCTCATGCCTATAATCCCAGCACTTTGGGAGGCCAAGGCAGGAGAACTTGAGGCCAAGGCAGAGCTTAAGACCAGCCAGGGCAACATTGCAAGACTCTATCTTTACCAAACAATAAAATAAATTAGCCAGGCATAGTGGTACACACCTGTAGTCCTAGCTACTTGGGAGGCTGAGGTGGGAGAATCACTCGAGCCCTAGGATTTTGAGCTACAATGAGCTGTGATTGTACCAGTACACTCTAGCCTAGGTGACAGAGTAAGACTCTGTCTCTTTAAAAAGAAAAAAAATTATTATTTTCTTTTAAAATAAACCATAACTGGAAAAGCTGGGCGATAAAACACACCAGGAGTTTATCTTCATTGCATGAAACTCTATTAGGAATGGACTCCTAGCTGTCACTTAGTTTTGGGAAGTCTGTGCTTCTATCAAAGTATACAGCTTAAGAATATGACATTCTCTGAGACTATATATAGGTTTCATGCTGATAAAACTACTGTATGACAGAGATTATGATGTGAAAAGTATGAACTTAGCAATAGTTGTAACATGATAGAAAATTTACTGTCTGTATATAGGTTAATTTTATCATCTTTATTCATTTATAAAACAGTGCTCCTCAGGTTTTTAAATTTACTTTAAACAGTTAGGCGATTAGAGAAAAATGTTAAAGAGGTTTTGGAAGATTTTGCTGAAGACGGTGAGAAGAAGATTAAATTGCTTACTGGCAAACGTGTTCAACTGGCTGAAGACCTCAGTAAGTCGTTCATCCTGCCGTCCACCTTACTACCTTTTCACCTTTCCCGTTTCCATTTGTTCGTTCGTCCATTTAATCTCAAACTTACAGAAAAGTTACAAGGAATTTTTTTCTTCTCTGAACTATTTGAGAGTAAATTGCTGACCTTAAGTCCCATCACTTCCAAGTAGGTTACTGTATAGTTCTTAGAAACAGATTTTTTCATAGCAACCAAACACTGGTAAATTACAATATCGAATTCTCAGACTCTCTTCAAGTTTCACTCCTTGTCCTGGTATTATCCTTCCATATAACAAGATGTTCAGGCTCATTCCCTGACCCAACTTCCTTTTTTTGGAGAATGGTGTTTAGAAATGGAGACCTGGAAATTATATATGGTCACTCTTACTGGAAAATCACTGTTTCCAGGTTTCTCAGTGGAAACAGCTAGGAAATAAGTGTTGTGGATGCGTTCGTGTGTGTACAGATGAATATATACACATTGACATCTGTATTCCTAAATCGTGTATATTTATATTTTAAAAACTGTGCATTGATGCTGATGCTTCCCATTTTAATCCAGCGTTACAGCGTTTGTTCTAGTGTTCTTCCTTTTGATATTTGTCATTCGTTTTCCTGATAGAAAATGGGCTTCTAGTATTCTTAATGTATTTTTATATTTTGGTCAGTCCTCCTATACATAACCAAGCTTGAATGAAGATATGTCCTTTTCCATTGCAGAAATGTTCTATTTCATTTTTTAACACAGCTCGGACTCTTAACACTACATGCCAGGCCACCAGATGGCGCCATACCCTGCATTGACACCCTTTTTGCCTTGTCTGGGCTCTGACATCTATGGCAGGTTGCTCTTCTTCATGGAGTCCTCTTTACTGAGCTCATGCTCTGACGCTCTGTGCCAGGTGCCTCCCCATCTCATCCTCCCCACCTGCTAGCCCCTGCCCGACCCCACACAGTTTCCCTCCTCACCTGAAGCCAGACCATGCCTTTGTGGAGACACCCTCTTTATCCTGCTTGTGCTTCGGCATCTTGCACCAGGCCACCCTCCTGCACAGGTACTCTCCTCATTACTAGACCAGGCTACCAACAGCCCCGTATGAACCCCTTTATAACCCAGGTCAGGCATTGACACCCACCATAGGCTACTATGGCTTCCCCTTCCCACCATCCTAGCTTGACCCTACTAATAATCATTTTGTCACTGTTTGGGGGGATATTTGGTTCTTTCTTGTAGGTTCCTAGCTTTAAGATAGGATTGAGTACTAAAATTTACTTAGTTCTTTGAGAACTCAAGGAAATCAGTGAAACATTATTATTGTTATTAAATTAAAATTAAAACACCTGTAGTTACTGCCTCTGTTTGAACCTGTCTTGTTACAAGTTCCCCTTATTTCAGCTTCATGAAACAAAGTTATCTTTTTCTTTCAATGTGTATTAAATTTGCTGTCTTCATAGTTTTCCCATACCTAAAAGAATAAAAGCAGATACTATTAATAAATTAGAAAGAAGTTCTGCAAATTTGAAAGCAGTTTCTAAACTGAATTTTGTTGTCACGATACAATCACTAGGAACATCCAGGGGAAACCAGGCAGGGCCCTTCTATTTCATACCCTGTGCCTGCACAGCATGCTCTCCCTTGTGATCAGCCCTCGTGGTCTCAATCTCTTCCTCTAGTAGTAATCTAAGCTCTGCATTGCTTTCTCCTTTCTTTTTCTTTCTTTAAATATTCTTCTTTTGAAACGTATCTCATTCTACCTTTAGTTTCATTTTCTGTCACTTTTGGTGTTTTCCATGCCACCTTGGCAGTATAGTGAAGTTTGTGCTAATGTGGAAGATTAATGCTTAAATCTGAACTGTCATTTACTAGCTGTGTTATCTTCAGCAGAGAGTCTGCCAAAGCCTTAGCTTCTTTATGTGTAAAATGACTCTTATAATGGTTATGTCACAGGATTGTTAGGAGAATTACTTCAACAAGCATTTGCAAGTCCCTGGTTCATAATTTCATGCTTAGTTAGTACTGTTACAGAAAAAGGTATGTCATTGTCACAATGTATACAAATATATTTCTTTTACATCCCTTGTGATATAATTATCAAGACAGTGAAATAATTCAATGAATTTTACCAGCATAACATTTTTAAGTGATGGAAAAATCATAAGTATCTTTATGTTTTTAATAGAGGCTTTGCAGCCCCATCACTCTCTACTCCCAGTTTGATTATTTAAAGAAAGTGGATTACTAACTCAAGTATGTACACTGTCAAGCCCAGTTTTATGTCCTGCTGGTGGTTTTCCTGAGAAAGCAGTCATATGACTCCCTTGAAATGATTTACTACTTTTGTACATATAAAATTATGATGGTGTTAATGTACCAAATAATGTCCTTGGAAGCAAGGGTTTTCAGTGACTTAGCTCCGTCAGTCACTCTGAAGGAGATGAGGCATGACTTTGCCCATTAGTTGAAAAGAGTCTTGAGAGTGCCTTTTCCTTACTGTTTCTCTTTGGTCTAACACTTAAGGATATGGCCATGGATACTTCAGCCAGAAAGCTTTCAAAATTTAAGTTACTAATGTATTATAAGGATCAAAGTTTCTTGTATAACCTATTCAATTAGAACATAGTGTATTGGTTAATTGGATTTGGAGAAAGGGAGGCAATCAGGTTTTTACTACAGTTTCAGCATGTTACAGAATATTGTATAGGTTGTTAAAATGTTGATGCATTCATATTTTTTGCCAGTCTTGTACAATTTTAAATCATTTCCTTACTTTGGAGACTCACCAACTGACTACCCTTTAAGATGAGCACATAAGCAGTAGTAATACATTTTTCTTTCACATCCTGGAGAAGATATACTATGTTCACTATTGAAATGAAGCCATAAAGCTAGAGTTAGGAAGATTGAAGACATGAAAAGGAGCTCACCTGTTTTTGTCTCAGGAGCTCTTGTAGGATTCTTTGGAGATATGGTAGATTCCATAGCTGGAACAGGAAAAGAGCAGGATGAGTCTGTGGGTGTAGAAAGGAAAGAATTGCTTGAAAGATGATGTCAGCAGGTCACAGAAACCCTCTGAAGGAGGCTCCCCAACTGGCCAGGCCGGGGACAATTTGGGCCTCAAAATAATGACAGTAACAAATCGCAACCCGTTGAATTAAATAGGAATCCATACATTGGTAATTACATAAATAAGGGAATAAAAGCAGTGATGCAAAAAGGGATGTTTATATAATCACAGAAAATATGTACTAATTAAAAGTGGGAAAAGAGTAACTTTACAGTGGAGGAGCCTGACAGTCATCACTTTAGGTCAGAGTTAATATTATCAGTAACGGTCAAATCAAAACCATATGTCATCCTGTAAAATGCAAGAAGACTCCAGCAGGACTTCTAGTATGTTCTTACCAAAGATGTATAACTTAAATTCAGTCATAACAATACCTGAGACAAACCCAAGTTAAAGTACAGTCTGCAAAATAACTGGCCTTTAATCTTCAAATGCATCAGGATCATGAAAGACAAGGGAAGCGCTTAGAACTGCTCCAGCTGGAAGAGACTGAAAACGAAATGCAATGTGTGATTCTAGATTGGATCTTTTTGCTCTAAGGACATTAATGGGCCCGTGAGTGAAATTTGAATGGGATCTGAGGGTTCCATAGTAGTAATCTACCAGTTTAATTTTTTAATTTTGATTGTTAAGCTGGGATTATTTAGGAAAATACTCTTATTCATAACTAATATGCAGTAGAATATTTGGGAATGATAATGCATAGTGACAGCGAATGTTTCAGGAAAGCATGTCTTTGTAGTGGTCTTGCAACTTTTCTGCAAGTCTGAGACTGTTTTTGCATAAAAGGTTTAAAAAGCTTAATTTTGTTTTTGTAACTGATAATGGATTAGGGTCATATGAAAATACTTTAGAAATAACGAGACTTTGAAAACATCATCTCTGAAGACGCTGAAATACTGAGTTACCTTATGGATAATTTAATAGGATATACAGCTGATTTTTCCACCATAATCTCTTGTTGGCAGTATCTACCCATACTTAGACATTGTCTGCTGTTAAAATATGCCGATTAGGACTTTCATGAAACTTTTGATTTTATAGAAAATTCCATTTCAAATAATTCTTTAAATAGACATTTAAGTATGGTGTCAACTTAGATAAAATCTATTTGGATTCCCAGTGTAAGTTTTAGTAATGTGTCCAATCTATGTTTTAAAATAGACTACAACTTTAGAATACTTTCTTTAGAGAGATGAAGATTAGTATGTTATGGCTCAATTCGAAGTTGTTCTTTTTACTATGATCTATTTTATGATTCATAAAACCTGTCTTATGATTGTCACATATAACAAGTAAGAGTGCTAACATTGTGCAGACTTGTGGTACAATTTGTTTTCTGCCCCATTCTACCTCAGAAACTGAGTATCTGGGCACTGATAACAATTGGTAGTAGTGTTATTTGCTCCTAAGCCAAGTTTCACCAATGTGGTGTGGAATTGTTTTACTGTTTGTTCTATGAACATTGTATCAGCTGTTTACTAGGTTATTGTGAGGTTTTGGACCTTCATAGAAATTGCTTGTAACTTAGGACTTAGAGTTCTTTTTTAACTCTTGTTCACTAAAGCCTGAGTTAGGCTTTTTATTCTCTGTGCATGTAATCAGAGAATCACTGATACTGATGAATTTAAGGGGCATTACTGATCATTTAGATTGCTCTATGACCTAAGGAGTCTTGGCTAGGTGCAGTGGCTCATGCCTGTAATCCCAGCGCTTTGGGAGGCCAATGCGGGCGGATCACTTGAGGTCAGGAGTGTGAGATCAGCCTGGCCAACATGAAGAAACCCTGTCTCTGCTAAAAATACAAAAATTAGCTGGGTGTGATGGTAGGCGCCTGTAATCCCAGCTACTCGGGAGGCTGAGGCAGGAGAATCACTTGAACCCAGGAGGCGGAGGTTGCAGTGAGCTGAGATCGCCCCATTGCACTCCAGCCTGGGTGACAGAGCAAGACTCCGTCTCAAAAAAAAAAAAAAAAAAAAAAAAAAAAAAAAGACCTAGTGAGTCTTTTCTTCTTATTTTGCAATAAATTCCTTTTGATTTAATGTAAAAACTTGAAACTGTTTATGAATGTAAAGTAACATTTGAATACTTGCCTTGTGCCAGATATTAGCTTAAATGCTTTATGTGAATTTCCAATTGAGTCTCACAACTTTTGAGTTAAGTAGTTATTTTTCTCATTTCACAGGTGAAATGGAGGGTGAGAAACCCAAGGTAGTAGATGCTAAAGCATCTACTAGATTTGGGACCAGGTCTTTTAACTACTGTGCCAAAATAGCTTGGGGGTGGAAGGGGACTCAAGCCTTTGGAAAATATAATTACACAAAATTGTCCTTTATATTGAGAAACTTCCCTAGTCACCAGTGTCCTTCACAGGGTTACTCAGAAAGACATAAATATTAGTGATGATGATAATGATGAAGGTAATCATTCTTATCACAGGTATTTTCTATAATATAAACGTCTTTGGATTTTAAACTTTCGAATTGTATGAAAACTTTGATAGAACATCTAGGTAAATGAACACTACAGTGTGTATGAAGCCACTAAGCAAATTAAGGCAAGTTAATTTTCTTTATATGACTTGTAAACATATCTCTAGATGTACTTTATCAGATTCCACCATAGGTGTAGTGTCTGAGTTGCCCAAAATTTAGAGTTTTTGTGTTCCTACTTAGAATCCTAAAGTTCAGCTCTGACAGTTATATTAATAGAATCTATAGAAGCTTTAATTGTGCACAGTGTTGGCTGTTTTTTCAAGTTGAGGCTTTTTGTTGAGCTGGATCGAAAGTGCTGAAGAAATATACTGCAGTTGTTAGAAGTTGCATGTGTTTCTTCATATTTCTTGCACTTTATATGAGCAGAAGATATACTTTAGTAGACTCAGTACTTCAGAGCTGTATCTTGTTTACCACTAAAATGTGAAAACGGCGGTAAATTCCTTCACTTGGGCTACCATTGTAAGGCCTATTTTAATGGTATAGTTTGATATTCTTAATGTTAAAAGCAGTATAGCTTAAAGAGGCTGGTAAATTAGAATTTTCCAATATCCTCAGCTTCTTTTTCTCCCACAGTTAATTTGCTTTGCTGACTCCCTACGCGAGGTGGCAACAGCTGGCCCTTTTACTGGAGCTTGGAGGGATTAGAGAGTAGGAATCGCAGCAGCGTGCTCGGCCTCTTGCCTCTGTTGACTGTTCTTTATTGTTTGATGCCTGAGCATCTCCCAGACAGCAAGCAATTGTTTCTTGAAACTTAAAGTTTGTTTCTCTTGGGAGTATACAATGCTGTTGGGGCCTGTCTTTGTGTTGCTTTGCTTTCCCAGTCTCCTCTTCTCCTCCATCCTATGCTTTCTCTTGATAATTAGAAAGGAGCAAAGATACCTTTTTATTTAGGTCTTCATGAGATTCTGAAACTTAGAAATATAGGTTACAGATGGGAGTTTCTTTTTTCAGTAAGCCACCAGGTATTCAATAACAGAAATCATGTTTTAAATGAAAACTTTGTTCTTCTTAATATAATTTAGTGAGAGAAAACAAATGCATTCATGCATTTTTGAAATTATGGTAATAAAAGGGAACAGCAGCAAGGTCACCTAATACTGCCGTTTTAAAAGCTCTGATTAGAAATGTATCATAACTGCTTAAATCTAAAAAGATCCTTTCACTTATTCCAAAATAGAATTCTAATTTATAGGATAGTTGTAAGAAATCTCTATGCCATTTGGAAACTTGAATTAAAAGGAGTCAGAACATAGCTAAATAGAACCCTGAGGTAGGCAGAATGATTTTAGTCTTCATATTTAGAAAACATCAAGATACCCTGGAACTTAATTTCTACTGGTTATTACGTTCCTGCGCTTCTCCCATACCTGCCATATCCTTGAGTGTTGTTACGGGTGAGAATAGTGTCTGTGAAATAGTATGAGATGGAAATTTTCCTAGAAGGATGATTATACTCAGAATTTGGAACTTAGAATCGTAGAAAGGGGAAGTTATGTGTTGAAAACTGTTTGTGGGGGTGGGGCTGTGGCATGTGTAT